TTTCATTTTCCTCGAGGACTACACGAATGTTTTTTCTGCTGTTTCACTAGTTTTTTGACAGTTTGCAACAGTTTTGAAATGGTTAGTTCTAAAACGTCGCGGTTCTAAAATGTCGCAGTTCTAAAATGTCGCAGTTCTAAAACGTCGTAGTTCTAAAATGTCGCAGTTCTAAAACGTCGTAATTCTAAAATGTCGCAGTTCTAAAATGTTGCGGTTCTAAAACGTCGCAGTTCTAAAACGTCGTAATTCTAAAATGTCGCAGTTTTAAAACGTCGCCGTTTTAAAATGTCGTAGTTCTAAAATGTCGCAGTTCTAAAATGTCGCGGTTCTAAAACGTCGTAGTTCTAAAACGTCGTCATTCTAAAATGTCGTAGTTCTAAAATGTCGCAGTTCTAAAACATCGTAGTTCTAAAACGTCGCCGTTCTAAAATGTCGTAGTTCTAAAATGTCGCAGTTCTAAAATGTCGCGGTTCTAAAACGTCGCGGTTCCAAATTTTGAAAAAAAAATCAGAATATTTTCCTAGAAATTACCGGTAGTTTTTGGTAATTTTACCGGTAAAAAGTTACTGGTATTTTACCGGTAAATTCACCAAAACCGTACCGATAGCACACACTGATTCTAACAAAGGTTCATTAGTATGAAGAAATGCTGTAGATCAAAACAAATTGTACAAAAACTCATAAGACTACACCTGAAACAGTAATTTTGCGAATCTGAAAAAATAATGGAGGAAAGATGAGGTTGAAGAAATTAATTTCAATTATTTGAATGATTTTGGAGAAGGAGTAAAAACCGAGTTTAGCTGAAATGAACAGTTTTAAAAATATTAAATTGGCACATAAGTTTCTTTCGATTTTGGCAAAATTTTTGAACAAATTTTGCTCAAAGCGGACGGGGCTAGATCAATGAAAGTAATGTCTATAAGCAGGAATAATTATCTGGCAACGCCTAGGTAGTTCCTTGGCTCCATCAGCCCAGAACGACGAGTGCTGTGATTAAAAAAGTGGGTCAACTCCTTTTTTGTGTCATCTTTCCAATTGAAGTATTTTCTATCAAGAAGACGTTTACGAGCTCCAAAATATTATTTTTTCTAAAGGTCAAGATCCGGAAAATACCATGAGCGCAAAAGAATAGTTCAGCCAAACGACATGCATTTATGGCTGACCCCTCTCTTCACAACCGATCTCACATTGTCGCACTGGAAGCTAACTTCGGTTTTTCTCCTCGTTTTGATTTGACTGCCAAATTCAATTTTTCTAGTTAGAAAATATACAAAGCGGCAATTATAGTGGTATCATAACTTGAAAGTTACTAGTCTCCACTCCTCTGAAAGACCACCAAATACATAACAACCCCCTTTTCACGGGAATTTTAGGTTTCGGGACGTCCACAGCTAGCTATTCTTTGTCAATCAACTGACCCTTCCTCACATTGTTAGAGGAACTTACCCACTTCTCATCTACGGTAGTTAGATCATACACCCAACTGAACGTGCAAAAGAAATGATAGGAGAAACATTCTAATGTTTACATGACGATCAATGTCGAAGTCCTTCAAAACATGGGGTACGAATCGATCAAGTTTTTGACTTCGCCAAGAGACTTCGATTCGTTCACAAAACTTGGTCGACTAAAAGACAATGGCTGTGATATTTCACAAGTGGTTTGAAAGAGATCGGTTTCAATAGTATTCTTCAATAGGCCCAAGTCCAACTTCCGGACCGATTTTCGTCTTACGATTATAAACTTTTGGCTTCAAATTTACCAGCCCAATGCTCGATGGTATAGACCGTAGGAGATCCTTCTTTGTCTATTTTGTTCTATTTCTTGTGAACATCGTGGTTTTTCAAACCAGAAAGGAATAAAAATAGAATATCATTTTGAAAGTGTGGACGGTAAGGGACAAAAGCGAGCGCCATGCTAGCGAATGACAAGAAGTAGGAATGAGCCAGCTGTTCAAAACACCAACTGATTTGTAAAATTTCGAAAAGAAATTAAAATTTTTTTTGAAACCGAACATTTCTCAAAATCTAATGGTGAACGATATGTCAGTAAAGAAAAGTATACTACTTTTTAAAACCCATGCACAGAAGCAGTGATTTTCAGAACATTCAAATTGAAAAGTCAAAATTTGAAATCTCAAAAAAATTTTTTGTTAACAATATCGAAAAAAGAAACCAGAATAAAAATCCATTCGATTTTCGAAACAGTATTTTTTATTTTTGAATTTTTAGTCCTGGTTTATCTGGGTGTGATAGTTAAAATTTAAGTTTAGAATCAGATTTTTTATATCTTTTTTCAAAATCTAACTGGCAAATTTAGATTTTCGAGACCCGAATATAATTTCAAACCCCTTTAGTTCTTTTGGCAACTTCCTTATCTGATGGTTTCTCCGATTTAGTCCTTTTCAATTATTTTTCAACCGAAAATTGTAATTCTTATTTTTCCTCCAAACCCATGGCTGTTCCTTCTGGCTAGAAGAGAGTAGTGTTTCTGATGGAGACGCAGACCAAATGACTCTCCTCCATTTCCACACTACCCTCTCTCTTTTTTTGAATCTCCAGCAAGGGTCTTTGTCCATCTGTCTGCGTCTCTTCTTTGTTTTTTCTCTAGTTTTCTTCTTCGTTTTTTTCTAGATTTTTACCTCTTTCTTAGAACTTTTCTGTTTTCAATTCTTCGAAAATTAACTTTAAAAGAAGAAACAAATTTTCAGTAGGTTCAATTTCACCCAATAAATAAGTAATTTCCAATAGAAATAAGCCAATCAATTAGATAGAAGAGAGAGAGAGAGAGAGTATTGATTAATCAATTTCAAATATCTTCTTTTCGCGCGCAAAACTACAGTAATCCATAGACATTTTTTCAGCAAAATCATGGCACCAAGAACCAAGAAAAAATACGCATCCGAGTTCAAAGAGCTGCATGGATTCTATAGAATTGAGACCGCCCGAAGTAAAGGAAATAAGACAGAGGAAGTGGTAAGAGAATTTTCAAATTCTCGCCAAAAAACCGTAAAACCTGTAATAGAAAGGCCTTTTAGCTTATAGCTAATTTTTCTCGGTTCCTGTAAAAGATACAAAGAAGTTGTCAACTGATAAATTGTTCATCATAATATCAGAAATGTTTTATCAGTTCACTGTTTTTTGATATCTTGTACAGGAATTGAGATAATTGAGATCAAAGTTACGCTAATTTGGCAATCGATAGGAAACATTCTTCAAAACACTCATGAACTTTTTGTAAAATGTAACTTTTGCAATTTTTTCTGAAACAGTAATTTTTCAAATCCTAAGTTTTAACTCGACAGTGCGAGAGCCCGTCGAGAAATTTCCATAGATAGAGTCCAAATTTGGCGGCAATTCAAAAAATTAAAAAAATTATGATAATCGGTGTTTAACCATTTTTATAATTTTTTCCCACTTAATATATTATTTCCAGAAAAACAGCATGATGATGTTCTCTCAAGACAAATATTACTCTCTGAATTACTTCATCGTTCCTCCTTCCTTTAAATCGTCGGAAGAATTACGATATTTCGTAGTCGACGTCGTGGATATCAAAGATTATATGTCATGGGTACACAGCCCCAACGAGATCGCTGTTAGATGTACGCTGAATTTGGATTTGTTTTGTGTAAGTGTTGTTTGTAACAACCCAGAAATTCAATTTTTTTATACTGAAAAAGCAAGGCTGTCGGAAAAACCCGCGCGATTTTTTTCCGAATTGACAATACCAATTTTCCAAAGTGTTCCCATATTTAGTAGCAATTTGAATTATTTGAGACATTTCAAATAATGTCTCTGATTAAACATAACATTCACCAAATTTTCAATAGAGGCTTGATATGCGCGGTATGATAAATTTCTCATTGGTCCCAAGAAGAGTATTTTCGATGGAATGGACGGTTTGGACCACAGCAACCTACCCATGACCCGCGAAGAGGCCGGCCGTGGCCTGGTTTCTACAGTCTTGTGAAATAGAATTATATATTTTTGTCTGGTACTGTAAAAGTCACTTTCCGAAATTCGCGTCAAGTAGGAACCCCAAAAAAACTGAAAATATTTAAAATTAGCTGGAATCATACTCTTGGAAGAGACTTGTTGACACGACGCCCATTTTTCGCTTATTCCAGCTAATTTCAGACAATTTTCCCACTTTTTAAAGACATATTTTTCTAGGAAGTCATTTTAGAAAAATTGGACATCTCACGCTCTCCCACAGAACATTTCCGAACTGCAAATTAATTTTTGATCTACAGAAAAAAAAAGTTTGACGCGATCACAAGGTCTAAAGCCATAATTTCAGAATTTTTTATCTGATTTTGTGGAGTTTCAAGATGATTCAAATGAATCTTAAAAATTTAATTAGTGGTTATAGATTCATGTATGGTCGTTTTCCGGAAGAAAAAATGTCAAAAATGGTCATTTTTGAAAGTTTTTTACAGAAAAAATCTATCTCCTCTTTCAGTTTTTGACATTTCTAGGAGTTCTATAGCTCAAAAAAACCGCAATTATTTTCTCTACATTTTCTATAGATGAATTTTTAATTCGTCTGATAAAACTTTTTTTATAATTCAAGAACCTCATGAAATTGCAAAAAATAGCATTTTTGCGTTGTTTTTTGATTATAAAAAAAGTTTTATCAGACAAATTAAAAATTCATTCATAGAAAATGTAGAGAAAATAATTGCGGTTGTTTTGAGCTATAGAACTCCTAGAAATGTCAAAAACTGAAAGAGGAGATAGATTTTTTCTGTAAAAAACTTTCAAAAATGACCATTTTTGACATTTTTTCTTCCGGAAAACGACCATACATGAATCTGTAACCACTAATTTTTTGAATCATCTTGGAACTCCACAAAATCAGATTTAAAAAAATCTGAAATTATGGTTTTAGACCTGCAATTGTGATCGCGCCAAACTTTTTTTCTGTAGATCAAAAATTAATTTGCAGTTTGGAATTGTTCTGTGGGAGAGCGTGCATCTAGATATTTTTGAAAAATGTCATTGGACAATTCTAAAGAGATTTCTAAGAATGGTGAAGTAAGTAAAGACAGTGGTACCCCTAGCTTTGAGCTCAATTATCTCTTTCCCTGTAATAGATATCAATAAGTTGTCAACTAACAAAAATTTTATCATAATCTCACAAATGTTTTATCTGTTGACAGATTTCTGATATCTCTTATATGAACCGAGATAATTAAGCTCAAAGAGCACGGCTTCTTTTAGAGCAAACACGGTAGACGAATCTTGAAAGAGTTTAAGAGTACCATATTGTTCATGGCCTATTATATTTGTGTATTTCAGCGAAGACACCCCTGTAAGAAGTTCTACATCCGTAACCTGAGTCGATTCATTGAGGATCACCTATTCTTTGCCGACGAAGTCTTCGATTTGATTCCAAATATTATCGAGCAGCAGGGAATTAAATTTGACAGAGGTTTAGAATTTTTTGTTTTTTTTTTCTAAATTCCATTTTTCTTTTTTCCAGATGAGTATGACAAATGCCGAAGTAAATATGCAAGCACCAATTTGAGTGTTTTTGTGATGGATATGAGAAAAGTTGACATCATTTTGAGCATTTTCAAAGTTAACAGGGAGAAGGTTACGGTAGGAAACCCCTTTTCTGGAAAGTTCCAAACTTTCTTTTTCAGATTATCGACGATTTTCCATCTTTGAAAACTAGAAAACTCGCGTTTACCAGTGGAACAGTGGAACCAGTTTACTCGATTGCTCCGTGTGGACAAAAAGTGATTGATCCACTTTTTGCATGTCTTTTCATGTTTCAAAAACTCGTTTGTGGAATTTCATGGGAACATGAACGATGTGAAGATGATGCGGATTGTATGGCAGTGTATAAAGTGTTGTTGGTGGAAGCATTGAAGCTATACGCAAAGACTGATAAGGTAGGTAAAATTAAGGTTAATTTATCTCGACTCCGGTCAAAGGTATCAAAAAGTGGTCCAATGACAAAATAATTATCATAATATTAGCAACATTTTGTTAGTTTGCCACTATTTGATATCTTCAATAGGAACTCAGAAAAATGAGATAGTAGAATTCCTAAAGCTCTAACTTCGTTCAGTAAAATCTGAAATTTTCAAACCAATCTAATAAATCTGGAATACAGTCCTTCAAAATGTACGATCTTCCCATTATGAAAATAGTCAAAATACATGCTACATTTTTTGTCTGTTTCGAATTGGTCATATTTTTAGTAATGATTTTGAGAGAATGTTGCTTTGTAAGCTTTAAGACGTTCTAAATTTCGAATCACATTAATTCCAATAATCTCAATCATCTGATAATTTGTAACAGTGCAAAATATTTACTGTTTCTATTTAAACCTAAAAGTCACAGAACCTTTAAAAAAGGCTAGAAACATCTATATGCACTATTCAAAGTTTTCGTTTTTTAAAGGTCTCGAAAAGTTATTTAATAAGAAGAACATGGTCACAACAAGTGATACCGTAGTTTCATGTTTGCAAAACATTCTTAAAAACGCAGTCGTGGACAACGATTTTCAGCCAATTTTTCCTTAAAATTTACATTGAGAACGACATTAGATGAAGCAAATTCTCTAAAATTGTTTCCAAAATCTAACAACAGGAAACATTTGTCACTTTTCCCTCAAACCATATGAAGTTTATTAACAGTCCTAAAATGATCAAACTTTTAGGATTCATTAAAAAATGAGTAGATCTTGAGAAACAGTGATTTGTGCAAAGAAAAAAATATGCGCGAATATAGAAATTACAGATTCGCCCAGTTTTTAAATGTAACCGTAATTGAAAAACACAATGAATATAATATAATTGGATGCAATATTTTGTGTAGCTATTTTAGCCCTTAAAGGTGGGGGGACATGAAAAAATAATGTTCTCGAAATTCCGTTCAAAGATGCCTCTCGAGGAGTTGAACTTGTGAGGGCGATGATTGAGGGTGCGGCGCCGCTACCGACTGAGCCACACGGGCAAAGAGAAAGCGCACTCCCGATTGCATACATAAAGGCGAGGACGACAGCTGTACGCAGAGTGACATTAAGCGTTGTACACCGTGACGGTAGAATGCATACTCTAGCTACAAAAAAACTACGAAAAATCTCCTGTCCCCCACCTTTAAATACCGTAATTCCTCTAACGGTAGCCCACCCAAACCGTCAACTTTGAGTTCTATTATCTTGGTTCCTATGAGAGATATCAAAAAGTGGTTAACAGATGAAATGTTTGTGATATTATGGTAAACAATTTATCAGTTGACCACTTCTTGATATCTTTCGAAGGAACCGATATAATTGAGCTCAAAGTTCGAGTATTGGGTGCGCCTCTCGCAGAGCTACGTAGTTGCCGACCGACGCTTTTTTAAAAATGCCAAATATACCGAAATTCCTTTCATTTTCAGGTCAACTTCCCGACACTATCCTCCGTTGTGAACAAAATCCAGGTCATCAAGGATCACGCCTGCAAAAAACCACACAAAGCCTATCCAAAACCAGATCATAACTTTGCACAAAACAAGCACACTGCTATGATTCCATTTTCAAAGTATCAAGAAATTTGTGCAGCATTTCAACTACCAGTTTTCCGAAGTTTCTTATGGGAACAAGATGAGAAGAAGGACGAATTACCAGTATGGGTGACACGTGTTCTATTAACTGCCGGATGGGTTTTCGAGTGCGATTTTCCGGAGTATATTAAGAATCATGTTATGTCAAGGCTGGCGAGTGTACAGCCGGAACGAGGCGTCTCCGGTCCGTTGTATGCATTTGCGGTAGGTCATTTTTAAGGTTTCCTTTTTTGTCGGTTGAAAATAAGGCTTCCATTCGGTCGGGAAATTTAGCCGACCGGCCGACCACCGACTCCAACGGCCGACAGCCGACCTTTTTCGTGCATTGGTGCGTCAACGTGTTTGCATAGCATTGTTTCGGTCGGCTGGCGGTCGGCTTGGTCGGTGCTTGATCGGCGGTCGGCGATTTTCGACCGACCGAAATGAGCGCCTTAGTCGAAAACCGGCGACCGCCGATCAACCAAGCTGGCAGAACAGTTGCGCGTCAAGTGTACATTTAGGTTAAAAAAATAAACAATTGTTTCTGTTTCTCGTTTTGTACAAGTATACTCTTCTGAAAAACTGCCTTATTGCTTAAGTGCCTTAAAAACTGCAAGTTTTAAAATTCTAGAAAAAAATTCCAGGACAAGATATCGAATCCAGTGAAAAATGGGAATCCTCGATTCTACGATCAACCTGCTGAACCGGAATCAAACGCCTTGTCAAAACAGAAAAAGAGGAATGAGATGCTTCAGAAAAAGAAGGAGGAAAAGAAAAAGAGTAAAGGAGCTGGACCTCCAGACACTAACAAAAGAACACCAAGGACGCCAGCTGAGCAGTTGGTTTTGGAGATGAGATATCAGGAACATATGGAGAAGACAATGGCGATGGAAGTGGAGGATACGTATTATGGAATGGAGAGTTTGAGGACAATTAGTTTGGATAAAATTCAAAAGGAGAGGTTTCAACCTCCAATTATTAAATTTCCTTTCCCTCATGATGCTGCGGAGTTCAATTGTGCAAAACCTCGCGCAAAATCATCTCTGCCGTTAGACAAATATGGTACACCCCTAGGACTGAATCATTTGAGTCAAGAAGAGGCGGATCGTTTACTGTATACACCAATTGGACAGTTAGATATGAATGAACTGTATAAAGGAAGAGGCAATGATCCATCTGATGCGGAATCTGAGAATCTAGAAGATGATCCTGAATATAAGAAATTGATCGTTAATGCCCCTGGTTCTTCTGAATCTGTTCCAAAGAAGCATAAGCCGGAAAGGGTGGAGCTAGAAGATCCCGAGCCTGAAAACCAGACTCCTGAACGTGAAATATTCGACAAAGAAATTGAATGGATTAACATGGATTCATCGACAGCAGATGCATTGATTTGGACGGAACTGGATAAAAATGATCCATCAGAGATGACACTAGAAGATCTTAAAGCAGTTATGACAGATAGGGAGAGAACTCGGACAGAAGCTCAGACTCCTCCTCCGAAAGCTTCGCAAGCCGACGCATCAACACAAATAGATCCCACAATCATTTGGTGTCGAAAATGTTTAAAAACCTCGGATAGATGTACTGCGCAAAACGATCTGAAAACTACTCAAAATCAGTTGAAGAATTATGAAAAGAAGGCGTTACGAACTGATGAAGTGGAGAAGAAGTTGAAGGAGATGAATGGAAAATTGGAGGAAAAGGAAAAGGACCTGGAACAGAAAGCTAAGGATATGAAGAAATTGGAGAAGACCCAGAATCAGACGAACAAATCGAAAGAGAAGGAGATAGAGAATTTGAAGAAGTGAGTTTTTCGGAGTTCATACCTTTTTTCCTGTTTTCTAGGCCATTTTAACATGGTGGCCTAGCTTTTGCAAGTTGAGTTTTCTAGGCCACCACGTAAAAATGACCTAGAATGGGTTTAAAATTCATCTAGTGTGTTTCCTAGATCATTTTAACATGGTGGTCTCACCTTTGCAGGTCTGCTTTCCTAGGCCATCATGCTTATAGTGACCTGGTGCGTTTTCTAGGTCATTTTAACGTTGTGGCCTAACTTTTGCAAACTGAAATTTCTATGCCACCACGTTTAAATGACCTAAAATTGGTCTAGTATTCATCTTGTGGATTTTCTAGGTTATTTAACCTGGTGGCCTAACTTTTGCAGTCTGAGTTTTATAGGCCACCACCTTTTTTTGGTCTAGAAGTGGTCTGGCAAATTGGTCTTCACCTGGATGGTTTTCTTGTTCAGTGGCCTAATTTTTCAAGTTGGGATTTTCTAAGCCACCACGTTGAAATAACCTAGAATTGGAGTGGTGTGTTTTCTAGGTTATCTTAACGAGGTGATCTAACTTTCGCAAGTTGGGTTTTTTAGGCCACCAACTTTTATAGTCCAGAAATGGTCTGATCTTTATCTGGTGTGATTTCTAGGCCATTTTAACGCGGTGGCCTAGAAAACTCAACTTGCAAAAGTTAGGTCATTGATACAAAACTTGGGACATCTCTTCTGCGAAACACCTTTTTTCTGAAACAGGAAATATGTTTCTTAAGTTCGATTACTATTTTCAGATCGCTGGAATCGAAAATCAACGAAATTCGAGAAGTGAAAAGTTCCTTGGACGTTGCCAAACAGAATTTTGTAAAGATTAAAGATTCGGAGGCGGAGTAAGAATTTGAAATTTAACAGCAGAAATTGAAAACTTAATTTTCAGAGAGAAGCGAAAAAATACAGAATTGAGATGCCAAATTCATCGGTTGAATGATGAGTTGCAGAATAAGCGATTGGTTACAGAGTATGTTGTTTTACCGCTAGAACATGGTAGTCTTATGAACCCTTGATCCTGTCGTTGCCTGTGGCGCAGCCTGTAAAGTGCGCGCTTTTGAAACGAGGGGCCGTGCGTTCGAACCCCGCTCCAGCTAATTCTTGTTTTCGTTAAAAAATTTTTTAGCAAAACTGAACATTTTCAAATTCCAGAGCCCCTCAACCAGACGATTTATTGAATCAAATTTCGAGACTTCGAGTTGAAATGGACCGATTAGAGATGGAGAAGGATATGTGAGTTTTTTACATTTCGAATTTCTAACAAAATAGTTTTTTCAGTGTATCCCACAAAGATAATGAAAAACAAGAAGCGCTGAACGAGCTGAAAGAGTTGAAACGAGCCAGTGATGAGATTCATGAAAGGACGAGACAGCAGTTTTTAGAGTGAGTTTTGGGCCTTTAACTTTGAGCTCTATTATCTCGGTTCCTATCAAAGAAATAAAAAATATGCCAACTGATAAAATATTGGTGATATTATGATAAACATTTTGTTAGTTGATATTTTATTTGTATCTTTTACAGGAACCGAGATATATAAGTTCGAGTATAGTGGGCATCGAAGCCCACCCTGATCGCCAATGTTGAGCTCAATTATCTCGGTTACTGTAGAAGATATCAAAAAACTGTTAACTGATAAAATATTGTTGATAGTATGGCAAATATTTTATCAGTTGACAACTTTTGATATATTTTACAGAAGCCGAGATAATTGAGCTCAAAGTTCATGGTAGTTAGGGTCACTTTGGATCACAACTTTGATCAAAATCATCCAATTTTCCCATTTTTTCTGGAAAATATAGCTGAGCTTTTCCTTCACAAAATGAGAAACTATTTTTTCAGCGAAACCACAAAAAATAGGCAACTGGAAAGCTTAATCGAGACGTTGAGGAAGGAGATGGAGAGTCTGACAAAGAGAGAAAGTTTCGACAAAGAGAAACGAGAATTGGAGACTAAACTAGAAAGTGCTAACACTCTGTGAGTTTTTTTTTCAAATTTTGAAAGTGTCAAATGAACTTTTGAACTTCAGATTGGCGTCTAAAAATACCCAACACGCCATGGAGCTTCGTCTTCTGGAAAAACAACTGCAAACTGGAAAACAAGAGCTGGCGGAGAAGGAAGTACAGTATTTGAGGTATACCTTTTTTATAACTTAAGAATAAGTGAAGAGCGGAGCTAGTAAAAACTATATTAAATCGCGCTGTAGGCGCACCAGCTAGCTGGTTTCATTAAATTACATAATTGTTACAGATTAATGAGCCACAATTCTTCAATGGAAGCATCGCTCAACATGTGTAAGCAAACTATGGAACGACAAAGCGATCAGATTACGGAATTCATGCAGGAAAAAAGTCAAGTGGTTTCGTAAGTTTTAATTTTCGAAATACCGTAAAACCTGTAATAGAACAGCCCCCACACTGCCAAGTTTGAGCTCAATTATCTCAGTTCCTGTTAAAGATATGAATGAGTTATCAACTGATAAATTGTTTACTATAATATCAGCAGTGTTTTGTCAGTTGACAGATTTTTCATATTTTTTATAGGAAAGTTGGGAGCCCTTCTAATACAGGTTTTACTGTATTTAAGAACAGGAAAATACAATAAAAATTAAAATTCTCAGACTGCAAGAAAAGATACGACGGTTGGAGTACGAGAATCACCAACAGAAGCTGCAGATTCAGCGAAATCAATATGGCTCAAGTGTAGAGTTAGTTTTTTAAAAAAAGTTTTATATAAAAATCAAGTAGATTTAAATTAATAACCCCGAAAAAAAATAAAGTGTGCATTTTTTTCCATGAAACAGCAAAAAATTTTCATTCACAGGTGATTCGCGAACAATCCGTTACAGCCGCTCAGCGTTCGCGCGCGGTTGAAATAGGAACCGCATACGGACCGCACGCGACCCGTTTTCAGAAAACC